GAAAAAGAGAATAGTAGCAAGTTGCTATGGAGTTAGATTTGATCGATGAAGCTCGGATTACAGCACATTGCAAGAATGTCGCGGCAAAGCAACTCGTGGCGAACCGATTTAACAAAAAGGTGAAGCCGCGATCATTTGATATAGGAGACCTGGTCCTTCGGAGGGCGGACATTGGAGGTCGAAATGCAGCTGAAGGGAAATTGGCCCCGAGATGGGAAGGCCCATACAAAGTCAAAGTTAAACTCTCAAAAGGAGCTTATGTTCTGGAAACTTCAAAGGGGAAGCAAGTTAAAAGGACTTGGAACGCGGACAAGTTGAAGAAATATTTTAGTTGAAAATTTCTCATTCATAAATTGTAATTTTCCAATTCAAAGTTCAGTAAATGGAATAATCCGCGGTATTTGAAGAAATAATAGTTGTGCAAAATCTTATTTCCAAGAAGAAATCCGAAGTATTGGAACCATCTTACCTACGGGCAGAGGTCATAACCCGAATACAAGCATTGAACCATATTGCCTATGAAATCCGAAGTATTGGAACCATCTTGCCTACGGGCAGAGGCCATAACCCGAATACAAGCATTGAACCATATTGCCCATGGGCACAGGTTGTAACGTCGAGGCGGACGAACTCCGGCTTACGGGCGGAGTTCTAGCCTGGCCAAGAACGTCGAGGTATTTGAACCTTCTAGCCTACGGGCATAACGTTCTAGCCCGGCCGAAAACGTCGAGGTATTTGAACCTTCTAGCCTACGAGCAGAAGGTTTTAGCCCGGCTAAGAACGTCGAGGTATTGGAACCATCTAGCCTACGAGCAGAAGGTTCTATCCCAGCCAAGAACGTCGAGGTATTGGAACCATCTAGCCTACGGGAAGAAGGTTCTATCCCGGCCAAGAACGTCGAGGTATTGGAACCAACTAGCCTACGGGCAGAGGTTCTAGCCCGGCCGAAAACGTTGCGATAGTTGGCCAACTTGCCTACGGGAAGTTGGATTAAAACATTCGTGCCGACCTACCGAATTGAGGAGGGACTTAAGGGGACGCCCTTACTTCCCTAACATCCTTAAAAGAGAAGGTCTGTTGAACAACAAATATCAGCATGCATAAATTACAAATATTAACAAGGATAAAGGCAAAATTGCCATATTAATCAAACATGTTTGGTTAGACAAGCAGAGTTTTCAAATTGATTGGAAAGCAAAAAAGAAGTTACAAAGTAAATCGGAATCCCGGTTCTTCACCCCGAAGCATCCACCTGCATCATCCCCCTCACCTCCGCCTCAAACTCGGCACCAGCGGCATCAATTCCGGTCTCCGCAGCCCCTTGCGCAATCTCTGTTTGAGCTGTGCTATTTTCTGGCAGACTGGGAATCGATGAAGGAGGATAGTAAACCCCGCCGCGAACATAGCCAAAGCAATCAAGCTGATCAAGCCGCAGAGGATATTCCGGGTTAAAATACCTCACCTGGTTTACCCCATTCTTAAAAGCACTCATAGCGGCTTTTTGCAGAGCAGACTGGCTAAAATCATAAGCTTGCTGCAAATTTTGGAGATCTGACTTTAATTTTTCAACCTCGGCGGTAAGACCGGATACTATCACACTCCTTTCAGCCAGCACGTCAGATTGATCTTTAAAGTACTTCAAAATATTATGCTTGCCAGGGGTAACACCAACAGCTTCGGCAATAGACTTCAGCTCACATTGGGAAGTCTCCACAGCAGCTTTTGGTTCAGCAGAGCTGTTTGTTAGCTCTTCGTTGACGAGCACAGCTTTTCCATACCTCACCCGAAGCTCGTCCAGCTCGGTAATGGCCTCAGAATGCTTCTCCAGGAGTAGGGAGTATGGCTTTACCATGGAAGCAGCTTTGAGGGTGTACAACTCTGCCTTCTGGAGCTCCTCCATCTCGGCTCTAGAAATGATCTCGGTTCCGTATTATGCGGGCGGGGGACGGATGACACCCCGGAATTCGGCTGTTATCCTTGAATCCCATAAAGCACCTCTCCTCAGTCCAGCTGGGAGTACTGCAGGAGCGGGAGAACCCCGGGGAAGAGTAATGACGGCATGAGTTCCGCCCAAACTAATCGAGGCTGGAAGATAAGGAATCCTGTCAGCCTCGGTATCTTCAGCATCCCCAGTAAGGTCCAAGATGGAGACATCAGAATTCACGGGAAAAGAAGAAGCGGCCCCCGCCAGGCTGCCTGTCCTAGGCCTCTTGGTCGGGGGAGCTTGTGGAGCAGAGGTTTGACCGGTTATAGACAAGATGTAGCCCGAACCTGGCCCCTCATCTTCTTCATCGAAATTCATTTCAGAATCTGCAAAGAAAAACAAGTCAAGTTATAAACAATAACATGAAAATAATACACGTATCGAGATGGGAAGCACAACATACTGGCAGGTTCTGGAGTAGGCTCTGGGGAAGAATGAGATCTGGCTACCAAGGAAGCTGCGCTCAGATGACCCTGAGAGCCCACATGATCCAGTAAGATCTTGGCATTAGTCTTATCGTCTTGTGTCAGTCTTAATTTGTAGTCGGATGGCTTGCGTCGATGATGATCTTGCGTCCAGTACAGGGGGAACTTCGGCTCCCCATCATCGCCAATGAACCATGGCCTCTTTCCAACCTCGACCACTACTTTAAAAAAATAAGCCTTGAAGCCCTTAAAAGATTCGCTGTATATAGAGAACAGCTTGCGGGAGGGATTACTAACTCGACCTCGGATGCTACTCCACCCCTTCAGTTCAGGAGGTTCCGAGCCGGTGCGCGAAGTATAAACAGTAAAGAAATGAAAAAACAAAGGCACGGTACAAGGAAGGGACAACGAGTCGCAGAGCTGTTTGAAGGCAACAATATAAGCCCACCCGTTGGGATGGATCTGGTTGGTGCGAGCAGCAGGTGGTTTAGAAGTTGCACCTTGAATGAAGAAAAAGGAAATTGAATCCCAATCTTCGTCACCAGATCCCGGTAGAAGAAAAAAGAATGTGGTTCCTCAGGATTTCGGCCGGAGCAAACAGGTTCGTCATCGGCAGGAACGAATGTGTGGAAATCAACCGGGTTGCCTAAGGGAAGCCAGGACACTTCTTCGGTTGTCATCTCAGAGGTAAAACTCAGCACTTCTTCTGTAACCCAGGGAGATTGGGCACGAAGATTATCGGTTACTGACGCCAGACCCTTCTCCGCGGTACTCGCCCCGACCTCTGGACCCTGGTTGGAAGAAGCGATATTCGCATTTGATTCTGTAGAATGGGACTCCATAAATACCTAGAACAGTAAAATGGAGGATTAAAAAGCAACAATAGCACGTAGCAAAAGGGATACGTACCCGAGCTAAACAAACTACTATCAGAGGAACTAGAATCGTCAGATGTGGAGACATGAGCAGGGGTTGGTGAACCCGGAACGTGTGAACAGCCACCTAAACCTAGATTGGCCATGAAGTCATTCCCCTTCTCCACAAATTGGGCACCAAGGTATACACAATTGAAACAAGGCTCAGGGTTGGGAATGCTAGGACTGGAGGAGACTCTCACACTCTGATTCGGAGATCGAAAAGGTGTAATAGTGTGAACCGGGGTAGAACCTAATGAAAGAGAAGTTGCCCTGGACGGGTTGCCCAAGTTACGGGGCTCAACATCCTGACCCCGGGTGGAGGAACCAGAAACCTTTCTACCTCGAAGACCCCTCCTACGACCACGAATCGAGGAGCGAGATGAAGAGGCTCCCCTACGGCCACCACCTCGATAGCCGCCTAGCAGAGCAGCCTGCGTTTCTTCCTCGGTCCGAGGTCTGCCATACAACCAGTACCTCGAACCAGGTGGTAGGCTTTGAATGAACCTTTCCTCTTCCTGCGCACGTCGTTCTTCCTCTTCGACGTCAATTTCATCACCACGACCGAAGACGCGGGGGCAAATGGGCCTCCCTTGAATAGCATAATTTCGTTCACCCATATCAGGAACTATTCAAAGCAGGGTGCGTAAGGAGTGAGCCAAGTGCAAATAAGCTCACATAAAGTGCAAGACCAATACAGAAGGTGCAATCACATAGAGAAGCAGGCAAGTAAATAAGCTTGGAATAAAGAAAGGCATTACAAAACCAGCAGCCATGGTTATGATTGAAAGTAAATGGAGAACATGCCAAAAAAGAGAATCAAAGTGAAAGAAAATACCTACGAAGGAAGGTGTTGAAGAAACTGGTAGATACTGGAGAAGGAGGCTCTGGTAGGACGAAACCCTTCAATAGCGAAGAAAAAAATGCTTCAGGAACTATTCGGAACAGCAACAGAAGCAAATGAATGATAAATGAGGCAAGTGGTGTGAAATGTTGAAATCAAAGGATTAAACCCGCGAAAGCCAAAGGCAGGGGCACTGCGATAATTTTGCAGTAAGACAAGACAGTTGAGGGACGTTTTGGCAGAGGCATTAAATGCCAAGACGACGAGAAACGCACCACGCCACACGTCGCGCCTATTAGGAGAGGGCACGTGGAGGGATAATCATTAGAAGGAAGGGAAACCGCTTCTCACTTCCGCGTTGCCGACATTTGTGTTTGCATCCGGGTTCACATGCTGGGTTTAAGATCGCGACCTGCCTTAGACAAAGAACTCGGTTATTTATGCCTATTAGGCTTACGAAGACCAGGAATGACTTCCAGGGGAAGTTTTCCCTCTCAAGGCTAAGCAAGGGAGCCGAAGTAGTATACAACTTTGTGCCTATAATTGAGTTTACATTTGATTATTTTCATTATACAACCTTTTTATTTTAAACTGCCTCATATATTTTAATATATTTTTTCCAATTTATTGTTATATGATTGATAATTCTAGTGTTGATATTGCTATTTTTGTAATTTATTAGCAGCTAAAGCGATAAACGAGCTTCAATTAAGTCACAGAAAAACACTACGGAGAGACGAGCAACCTCTCAACTCAGACGATATTAGTTTCTCGCTCAAGGAAGAAAACAAAATTGTTTACTATTTTATTCATCATACATTATATTGCACCAGACAAAGCAGCATGGATGTTATATTATACGCTTTGGTAATTTATTGTACATGGCTGGCGAATTAATGTTTGAACAGAACCTACAAATTCTAAATTGCAAATCTATATTACAAATAACAAACAGCTTTTCTTAAAATCGCTTAACTTACAATCACTTCCTCCAACTTCCAGCTCAAACTGCTGGCTGCTGGGTGTGGAGGGCTGCAGAACACTCTCAACACATCTCTTTTGGTCAAAACACTCTTCACACCATAAAACACTCAACAGAATATGAGAAGATTAATCAATTTAAATCAATCTCAGAAAAGTAATAATGAGGGAGTAAAAAACCTATCCAGCTTCTATGCATTTGCACACTAAATAATAAGTACAATAAGTAAGATGACCACCACCACCACCAAAATTACAAGCACCCACCAACACTGCAAAGTAAGAAAAATTAAATGAGAAGTCATATATTATGAGAATGATATACAAGTTTATAACATCACTAGCAAAAAAATAATGTTGCATACTACTCCAGAACCTCTACTAAGTTAGGCTTATTTTTTCTATAAACAGCCAATGAGTTGTGTGCAGATGTTAACCTGAGATCAGGATATGATGTATGGGTAGTGTGCAGATAATGCCATTTGTAGGAAATAAGACAAAATGATCATATTTTGAAAAATAAAAATAAAAATTGCCAATGTCAAACATGAAACTGACAGCATTGTATTCTAATGTCCATAAAGCTAACTTGCTCCACGAGGGGAAGCCAGATCTTGATTATGTTTTACTATTATAGCTTTATTTAGTATGTTAAGATCTTTATGACTTACCCATGAGATTCTGGATTTCACACCTTTGGAAGCCTTGGCTAGCTGAACCCTAGCTTGGGTTGTTGCACCAGCAGAAGCATCGATATTTGAGTGAATGTCATCTGCCAGAATGATGCAAACAATACAAACAAGAAGAATAACTAAATGTTGTAGGCTTGTAGCAACAAAAATCAAGCAATAAAATTTCCATTCTGCACAATGGTAATCTACTTACCAATAACAACCCCCTGATCATGAACCAGAACAGCTAGGTCCTTGAATATTTCGTTTGCTTGTCCAATTTGCTCTTCTACCTCTCTAATACCTTGTTCTCTTTCTTCAATCATGGCCTCATTGAAGGATATTTCGTTATCCAATAGAAGTATCTCTTGCCTGCAGTTTTGTTTCAGTGATCAAGGAAATCAGACCATAAAAATCAATTCTTCAATCTATCTAAAATCAATAGTTGAATAAGCCAAACATAAACTACGCATCTCTTCCTTACAAAGATGCATATTGTTGATATGATCAAGATTAAATAAAATTATTCAATTGGCCCAGGGAAGTAATTGAAATGTTGCGGACTTACCTCTTCTGCTCTCTGATTAAAGGTTGGCTTTCCAGGTCTATTTTAACCGATTCTTCACCATAGTCAGAGCTGTTTACAAACACAGAAATTATATAGGAGAACTCAAAATTTGTTGATGCAGATAAAGAAAGCAATATGAAGTACATAATTTGATTTTTAACTTTATAGAAGTATTTTTTTTACTTATTTTTCTATTGTGCAAAATATCTTATTTATAATTTCTTTTCCCTTAATCTATTTTTGTTTTTAATTCGGGTTCATCGACTATCAACTCCAACAAGTTAGGGATAAAGGTGATGTTAATGTTGATGTTTTTACAATAGTGCAAAGAATGATTGACCTTGTTGGTAAAGAAGAAGGGGCAGCAGGTGTGTAAGTTGATTCGCGCTCCGAAGCAAGCTGTTGCACTTTCTGGAATTCTTGCAATGTGGTCTGGAAATCTTTTGCTAGCTTAGCATCTTCAATTTTCTTACTAGCCTGCTTAAACAAAGGAGAACAGCTTTAACTAACATCTAAACTTTTTCCTTTCCCTTAACCAGCATTCAGAATTTTCAAGCATGAAAAAAGAATTAAAAATTTCAAACACAGGGCCAAAAGTCAAATTGCAAAACCAAAAAAACATCACAACAGAGAACTCCTGAAAAGTCAATGCAAGCCAACAAAACTGATGCATAACATGCCATTATTAACTAGTTTCCTATGATTCAACAAGGCCTGACTTTTTTTTTTTTTTTTTCTTGGAAAATTTCGGTATATTAGAAGCCAGGATCGTTTCTACTCTTTTCTAGGGTATGATCAATTGTGAGTAGGGTAATCAAAATTCAAAGACACTCATGAAGCAGTAAATAGATAAAAATAATAATAATGAAATAATGAAATAAATAAAAAAGAAAAAGAAGCGAGGCATACATTGACATTGGCATCATGATCAGATTCGGTCAAGGATTTGAGCTTAGAAGATGTATCCTTCACCAACTGCAATATCCTCTGCCTCGTATTGTGCCTGCCAAACACACCATAGTTAAACAAAGCACAAAAGAAAAATAAAAGAAAAAGAAAATTGAAAAACCAAAGAAACTATAAGCAGAGCGAGAGAGGGTGACGTTAGCGTACAGCTTCTGACGGTGCTCAGGCGTGTCTTTAACGGTTCCAACGGCATCGACGAGTCGCCGGAAAGTAGCGACGGCGGTGTTGATCTGGAAGATTCCGGCAGCGACGGCATGCGACGGAGACTGGTTCCGGCGAGCGGGAGTGCTGGCCCCACCTTGGATATCTTGAAAACTCATGGCTGATTGAATTGTTGAAGGAATTGAGTAGTGCACAGTGCAAAGTGTAAAGTAGTAGCAACCCACTCTTCTGGCTTTGTCTGTGGGATTATGACATATAATACTAAAGTAGTTGCCGGCATTTTGTTCATTAATTTAGGTTTTATCTTAAATAGCTTTATTAAAATCGGTTAGGTTATTGATTCGATTGAGTATTTGATCATTGATTCAAACAGTGAGTTATTGGTTAAATTATATGTACCGCTAATTATATATAATTGTATAATTTATATTAAAAAATTATAAACATACTTAAATATTTAAAAAAATGATAAAAATTTCAAATATTTTAATATAAAAATAATAAATCACACATTATTATCCAACAATGAATCAAAGAAAAATATAACGATCGTGATATGAGGTTTCAGGTTCAGTAAACAATATCTCTAACTATAAATTAAATCAAAATTTCCTGCATAGTATATAATAGAGATAATATTAGTATTATAGGTACATAACTTATGTAAGTCAATAAGCAAAAAGTACTCAAGAATGTCCATTATGTATTTTTTTTTTTTTAAATGAAATTTTTTGGGGCTGGCCGGGTCACCGGTTAATTGACCGGGTCATCGATTTTCACGAAAATCGTCCAGGTCTCACTGATTCTGATGCATTGCCAGTCTGTTGCTTCAATTGGATCGATTATATGACCGATTTATCAGTTCAGGAATTGACCCGGTCCGGTTTTTTTTAACATTGTGTAAAATAATTTTTTAGGCAGGTATGTTAATTTTAGGTAGACTCAAATTATAAGTTTGACTTATTATATATTCAAAAAATAAATGTTTTGATTCAGTCTTGTTAATCTATTTAAATCTATTAAGTTTTCAAGAATTAAAATAATATCATGTTATTATTTAAAATTATTAAAATAATAATTTTATTTATTTTATTAAAAAAATATAATATGATATAGGCATGGTTTAAAGGTTTATGGTCTGCCATATAGAAGATAACCTATTAGACCCGTAATTTAAAAAATAATTAAAATAATATCACTTTATTATTCAAAATAATTAAAATTATAATTTTATTTAAAATATAATATAATATAGGAAGGTCTGTAGCTTATAGGTCTGTCATGTAAAAGAAAATCTATTAGGACTTCAATAATTAAAAATAATAATTAAAATAATATTATTTTATTATTCAAAATTATTGAAAATATTTTTAAAATATATAATATAATATAGGTCAGCCTGTAAGCTTATAAATCTGGTATGTAAAAAAAAAGATCTATGACCAGCTTTCTAAATAAGTTTATTAAAAAATCGAAGCTTGTTCTATTTAATTATAAATAATAGATCGAATTTAGCCTACTGTAGTCGGGGCCGTAGGATAGGCCCTTGTTAGGCCGCTTGATCCCAGTGTTTAAAAATCCGACCCGACCGAGGTCAGGAGTCATGGGATCATGGGTTCAACCGGGGGTCATGAGGTCACTACGCTGACCCGATTTTATATATTAAAAAAATATAAATATATATATCCTATATGAAAATATTAAAAAATAAACCACCAATCTTCAAAGATTCAAAATATACTTAACATAATTCACAATTACAATCACAAGTCAATATTTCACAACCTAATTAAAGTATCAAAAGACCAAAGTACAAAACTCATATTCTAATGGGGTCACTACGCTGACCCGGTTCTGTCTCTTTTGAGAAGGTCTCTGACAAAGGAAAATTTAAAGGAAGTAAGAATAAGTTTTTGTTTTCCATCGACGACCGTAAGGATTTCATTTGAATGAGTAAAATTCTTACCTTTTCTCGAAGATTCACGGAAGCGAGGTGAAGATTGAAGACATCTAGGTCGCTGGGAGAGAAGAGAACGATTAGATTTAGTTTTTTTTAGAGTAAAGACTCAAATTGGTCCCTGACAAAAAACTTGGTGCCCAAATTAGTCCCTCACAAAAATAAACTCGATAAATAGTCCCCAACAAAGTGAAACAGGACCCACGTTAGTCCTTCTGTCAATCCAAAATTGACGGTGTCAATGACGGTGATGACGTGTCATGTTAAGTGACATGCTGGAGGCCACGTGGGTTGAGGAACGACGTCGTTTTGAGAGACTCATCCACGTTGGTCAGTATGGTCCCTAACAGTTTTAACAAAGGGGACCAGTATGGTCCCTAACATTTTTATCGGGGTCCTTTTTAGTCCCTACTAAAGTTCTGTTAACACCAATGCTACCATTTGCTATTAACACACCAGTAATGTCATTTCCCCTTGTACATGCTGATATTAGTCAAGCATAACACAATCAACTTCTGCATAATTCACACCATGACATTCTTAGTTTAGTCTTTATACATTGTTTCCATTCCTTTTTTTATATCCATCGAGTTTATACAACTTTTTGTGCCAATAAACATAACTTCAAATACATAAGTCATGCTACATACATTGCATGAACAACAATTCATTACACCAGCAAATCTCAACAGAACCACATTTTAAATTTCACTCCAGCCTACTTGCAAGATATATACATACTAGAAACACAACAATAATGGATCCAACAAACACCCTAGCACACCTACACACATGCATCATTTCCTTATCAACCCTTTCAAAGTCTGCATGCATCATCAATGATATGTCTTCAATCTTTATACAGTGCTCATGAAAAAATAACGATTGAAAAAACCCTAGAACACCTACACACATGCATCATTTCCTTCTCAACCCTTTCATGTGGCTTCATGATTGAGCTGTATTTGAAGTGCACACTTATTTAAAGCAGCTAACTTTGGACTTAATTGCATGCAATATGTCATGCATTGCAGAGACTATAGACAAATATGAGTTTGCTACGATAATCTGAGGAAGTAAGAAGGAATCAAAAAACTCTTTAGCACATTATAAAATGGCAACAACCAATGGATAAGTTTCTTTTTTCTTGTTATGTTAAGTTGTACCGTTGCTTGCTTAGATGGATATCTCCTCCAACCATTGTTATGTCTTTATCCTTTTTGTTATTTTGTTTACCCTCTCGAAAAGATAAATATTTATACTACTGTTTACAACTAATAACAGGGTAAATCAAATATAATGCTACATTATAATAACATGATATTCCTACACGCACAGTTATATAGTTTTATTCCTTAATTTTTTTCTCTCATCTCTTTTCTCTCTTCTCAATTGTATATGTAAAAATATCATGTAACATGATAATGTAACATGCTATTTCATTTACCCAATAATAAGGGTGTTACTTTTTTTTATGTTACAACGGATAAAAATTCTCTCATACACGAAAAAATACAATGTGAATTCCACTTTGTGTTTTTCTCTCTCCTCTATATAGTGGAATCCATATTATATTTTGTGTGTCCACAAGAATATTTCTCTCCCATGTAGCAACAAAAATAGTCTATCTGTTTAGTCATATAGGCTTTTCAGTTGCAGTCTTGATATAAGTTCAAGTTTATGATAAACTCTATGCAAGTGGGAACGAAAAATATTATGGCCAGTGGCCACCAATACAAGTCTCATGTGATAAATATGAACACGCATTAACATATTCTTCGTGTATGAATGGTTTCTTTAATAAAATAGAGTAACCATTAACAAAATAATGTCACAGACTCACAGCTTGACTATGAAACCTTGAAGTTATTAACTAAACAGTAGCGATCATTCATACATAAAAATATAACTAAACATTGACACAACATTAGAGAAAATAAAGTTATTTTTTTTTTACGAGGTTTTTCATGTAATCGTATACGTAAGTTTCTATATAAAAATATATTTAGTAGTTTAGGGATGTAGTCTCTTTAGCATTGTCATTAATTTATCTTCACTTCTATCTTTATTGAGAATATATTAAAATCTCATGTAAATTGTAATGCCCTCTCCTTCACCACTATCTGGCACGTAAAATTCAATATCTTGACTAATTGAAGTGGCAAGATTCCTTTTAGTTTCTATGCTTGTTCAGATTTTTCTTGCAAGAAAATTTAAATGTTCCGTAGAGGTGACAGACTATTGATTATTTGACAGACTATCAACCCTTGCATGTGGACTTTGAAAGGGTTGAGAAGGAAATGATGCATGTTTGTAGGTGTGCTAGGGTTTTTCCAATCGTTATTTTTTCATGAGCACTGTATAAAGATTGAAGACATATCATTGAAGATGCAGACAGACTTTGAAAGGGTTGAGAAGGAAATGATGCATGTGTGTAGGTGTGCTAGGGTGTTTGCTCGATCCATTATTGTTGTGTTTCTAGTATGTATATATCTTGCAAGTAGGCTGGAGTGAAATTTAAAATGTGGTTCTGTTGAGATTTGCTGGTGTAATGAATTGTTGTTTATGCAATGTATGTAGCATTTCTTATGTATTTGAAGTTATGTTTATTGGCACAAAATGTTGTATAAACTCGATGGAGATAAAAAAAAGGAAAGGAAACAATGTATAAAGACTAAACTAAGAATGTCATAGTGTGAATTATACAGAAGTTGATTGTGTTATGCATGACTAATATCAACATGTACAAGGGGAAATGCCATTACTGGTGTGTTAATAGCAAATGGTGGCACTGGTGTTAACAGAACTTTAGCAGGGACTAAAAAGGACCCCGATAAAAATGTTAGGGACCATACTGGTCCCCTTTGTTAAAACTGTTAGGGACCATACTGACCAACGTGGATGAGTCTCTCAAAACGACGTCATTCCTCAACCCACGTGGCCTCCAGCATGTCACTTAACGTGACACGTCATCACCGTCAGTTTTGGATTGACAGAAGGACTAACGTGGGTCCTATTTCACTTTGTTGGGGACTATTTATCGAGTTTATTTTTGTGAGGGAGTAATTTGGACACCGAGTTTTTTGTCAGAGACCAATTTGGGTCTTTACTCTCTTTTTTATTTGTTTAATAAAACGATATTGTTTTATGAATTTTTTTTTTTAAATAAAAACATGCAATGACCCCCTCTGACCTGGGAGTCACGAAAATCTCGCTGGGTTTTGGGAGTCGGAGGGGTCGATATGCATATAGGGTCCAACCCAACCCTCAGAGGGGAGGGGTCAGCGT